AAAACATCTAAAATTTCAAAATAATGTTTTTTTTTTTTTTTTTTTTGTCAGTGAGTTACTCTGAAAACGCAATTTCAGCTTCCAGATATGCCTAGTTCTCACTTACAAAAAGGCTAAAGTTTTTTTTTTGTAAAATCTCCTAACTTAGAAAACGATACAGAGATGACAGAAGAATTTTTCTTGATCATTTGGGAACTTAAAAATTAGAAACTAGCTTTCACGCGTGCCTAATTCCCAGGCTCATATGCATGAATATTCAGGTAGGAAGTTACAGAAATCTTCCACTCTATGCTAAGAAAAACTGAGAAAAAAATAAGGTCGTACTGGCTATCTGATGCGTGTCGCTATTTATATTTTTGAAAAATAGAACAAAACGAATTTTCTAATTCTCGAATCTGATCAACAGACTTCAGTAATTTGTCGACATTGCACGGCGGATAGATTAAGTATGTGCGATCATCAATGCCCAGTAACGTTACAATATGTTCACGAGTCCATCTAAAATTTCACAGCCCGTTAAGGGAAAGACTTTGAGAAATCCACGATTTTCAAGACAAGAAAAGGTTACAAGTGTTGGCGTATTTCAAAAAAAAAAGATACTATAAGTATTATAAATAAAATACAAATAATATTGTTTTCCGTGAATTATGGAAAAAGAAAACTTTCAAAATTTTTTTCAGAAAAAAAGTTTTGCCATTAAAAAAAAACAAATCAAAGGGAACATAAAATAATATTTTAATTCGAAATTAAGTCTCCTATTTTCTTTTTTAATTCTCTCGCAAAAAAGTCAACTTACGTTCCGTTAACCATTACCAGTTTACTACAGATACCGCTCAGCCAATACAGTACAGCGAACATTCGATAATAAATGAGTTTAGCATAGGTTAAGATTCGACTTTTTGCTATCCACTGGGCATTATTGTACGATGATTCGGCTGATTCCACCAAGTTTATCATATCTGAATGCAAAATGATCACTTTTGAACGATCATTTACCGCATTTTTCAAACTGAACACTGATCTCCCCACACATTCCTTTTATATCGCTAATTGCTTATACAATATCGCATATCCCTGTGTACTTGTAAACTCTCATATTTATCCATGTGTTTTAATAAAAAACTCTACAATTACTGCCTCAGTTAAGCTCGTTTTGTGTACTTTTGCATGGAAGATATTATAGCTTTCCAGGTAAAACTGCCTTCAAAGTCTAAAGCGATCACCAAGGTTCCCTCTCATCTTTTTCCCACATAATACAACGAAATTTCCACAGCATTTCATCATCAAGTAAAACAGATGTTAAAATTTAGGAGTTCCACTCCGAGAAACACGCCCAGTTCCTCTCAAAATGTTTTCCAACAGAACTTTGATCGACATCACCTGTAGCGGCAAAGGGGAAATTCCCTTTCAACACCTCGATTTTGGGGACGATACCAATTCGGAGTT